CGGCCGGCTCACCCGCGGACGGCGTGCAGCAGGCGCAGCGAGGGGTAGGCGGTGCGCACGTTGACGTGGTGCTTCAGGATGAGCTCGTTGACCCAGTCCACGCGCTGCTTGCCGCCCCGGGCCATGAAAGCGGGGATCCACAGGATGCTGCCATTCAGGCCGTGCAGCCGCTGCAGCAGCTTCTCCCGCCACGTGGCGTTGACCAGGTCCTCGAAGGCGCGCTGGATGACCGAGGGGTTCATGGTCACCAGGTCTGTCTTGAGCCCCACGTCCCGGGCATACTCCTGCACCGGGGCCAGGTTGCACCTGGAGGAGACAAAGGTAGCGCAGTCCTGGTGAGAGGCGCTGAGCTGCCCTGTGAACTCCTGCTTCCTGCTCCTCACCAGATAAACCAGGGCACCGTCCCATATCCTGGGGTTCTCCTCGTTCCTCCTCTCCCTGCTGCTGAAATGCTCACTGAGCTCCTGCCACCCTAAGCTAGGCCCCGGAGACACAAAACGCCTCCCTTCTGGAGTGCAGGGTCTAGGCGAAGGGGAAGGGGCAGGAAGGCCAGCTATCAGCTCAAGACGACAGAGGACACTGTTGGCAGGTGTGACCCGGCCCTTCAGTGACAGAGCCGGCTCTGAAGCCACATTCCCAGGTCCAGATCAGCTCTGACACTCTCTCCCTGTGTGTTTCTGCTCAGTCTCTCTTTCCCAAGTGTTCCAGTTACAATGGCTGTGACCCATGGGGATCACAGGAACCAGAAACACTGAGCTCAGAGTGGGCTGGGCAGGGTCAGAGCTCCACAGACACTGCTGCTGACTAATTCTTATGGGAAGGAGCAGCAGGAGGTGACCATGGAGGGCCGTCTGGGGGGTGGATGAGTGGAAGTCCATTTGTGGCCAAGGCAGCTGCTCCCAGATTCCCCTTGGGTACTGGTTAAAAATGCAGATTCTCTGGGTCCCTCACCAGGTGGAGGTACAGCTGCAGTAGGACTCACAGGTCAAGAATTTGTATGTGTGTGTATATTTTAATAATTTATTTTTTTGTTTTACAAGCACTTCCTCTTCATGCCCAAAGCAGTTCAAGAACACCATGCCATGCCATGGAGTATTAAACACTAGAAATGTACATAAGGGCAGAGAGGCAAGAAACAGCCACCAGTGCTTGGAGGAAGGCAAGCAATTTGGTCTGACTAGGGCATGTCCCATGGGGGAGATGGGGCTACAGAAACACACTGGGTAAGATATCAAAGGGCCTGTGTGTCAGGGACTTGGTTCTGAGCGTGCAAGGGAGCTGCTGAAGGTTCTTGAACAGGACAGTAATGTGGGAAGTTTTCATTTTAGGTAACAGACAATAAGATGGAGCGGTAGGGGATTTACTGGAGGGAATGCAGTTAAATATTACAGCACAAACTAACCTGTTGCTGAGCCAGTGAGAGCACCTGAGGGGGCAGCCCCTATTATTTAAGTGGTGGGCTGGCTTAGAGGCACTCACCCACCTGCAAGGGTTTGGGCATGGGTTTGCACACCCAGGTTGCCTGCCCATACTGAGGGCTGCTGGGATGGGGTTGGGAGTAGGGGCCAGAGGAAAGAAGTCTGAGAAGTCAGAAGAAGTGTGTGCAGAGCAGAGACAGGAGACCCGCCACCACCAGGGTATGAAGTGTGGAAGACACCAGACATTCGCCTGTACCTTCACTTTTAATATCCATCCCACTGGCTCCTCACTCCTCACACAGAATCCAGTGACCCTGCTATACTGAAGGACTTGAGCCATTGTCTTGGCCAGCCCCAGAGAGACCTGGCCAAGTCTAAGAACAGAAGCAGCTTTGACTGTGGGCTGTGGGAGCTCTCCAGCCCCAGGGGATGCAAAAGTAACACTCTGGGTTTCTTCCCATGCTCTGAGTTTCAGGGAGCTCTGTGATCAGGTCGCTTCCCAAAGCCCTGGGACAAGTGGCTCTTTGCTTCAGGACAGTCCCTGTAGAAATGTGAGCTGGGGTGTGCCGCTCTCTTGGGACTGGGAGCTGCGTGGGATGAAACTTGAGGCTCCAGGTGCCGTACTTTGCTTGTTTCTGAGTCTGTGTGGGGCCAGGTATCAGGGCTGTGGGTAACTGGGTTCAATTGTCCCACATGATTGAAAATCAAGAGCTGATATTTTAGAGAAAATGAAGGTCAAATACAAGACTCAGGATTTTCTGTCGCCCCTCACTTCCCAGGCTTGGATTACAGGGTAATGAAGTCAGTAGTAGAGACTCACCTTCCAGGACTCTGGAAAGAGCTTTACAAACTTAGACCAATTGGCCACCATGGGAAATTTTCTTAGCAACTTTTTGCACTGGGCTCCGTCTTAGAGTCAGGAAACTTCTGGAAAGGGCCAAATTGTGAGCATTTCCAGCTTTGCAGGTAGGGTGTTCTATGTGTTGCTTTAGCAACAATGCTTTTCAACTCTACCAGTCACTCTATTTTGCATTGTGGCCAGAAATCAGCCACTGACAGTATGCAAATTAGCCAATGGCTATGTTCCAATAAAACTTTATTTACAAAAACAGGCTGAGGGCCATAGTCCGCCTGTCTCTGCTGTGCGTCCGTGACTCAATCACAGCCAGACATCAGTATCACCTGAGCTCCCTGGGTCACACAGGTCCACCCCCTCTCCCTGTGCCCCAGATGATTTACTTGGCTGAAAGTATAGTCAAAACACTGGGGATGAGGCTCCCCAAGAGAACAGAACCTAATGCAATCAGTGTGTTTTGTTTCAGAATGTTGGGGCATCTCGCCATGCTCAGGGCCACAGCACCTGTGTGGGTGGTTACCTTATGACAAAGCTATGCATGTCGATCTCCTGCCCACAGCCACTGTTCAGCAAGACCCCCGAGTTGCCCACGATGGCACAAGTCCGGAAATTCTTATTCTTCAGGGGTGAGGTTCTGGGCAGGAGTTCATAGAGGTTCTGGGATACGTTCATTGTGCTGTCTCGGTCAAAGATATAGTGAATTATGTCTCCAGGCTTCAGAGTCCCCTTGAGGACGGAAATATCCTTCTCAGCATCCAGGAACTTCAAAATTTGTTTCCTATGAAAACCAAATATGCATGATGAGAGATTGTTTCCAGATGCTCCTTGGCAACCCAGATTTTCCTGTCTTATCTCACCCTGATGGGAGGCAGCAGCCCTGCAAAGAGGCCAAGAGTTTAAATGCCCTGGGGAATGGATCCCATGCCTTATGGAGGGCCCAGAAGGAAGGGGACCTCACAGACAGGTGGCCTACTACCCTGAGTGCCTGGGTATAGGACTGGATGTCCCCTGTCCAGAAAACCATTTAGTCTTGGGCACCCCCCACCAACCTGTACCACAGGTCGGGGCCACCATCTGCTAGGGAGACTGAGAAGCAGAAGCAGCCAGCCAGGATGCCACATGTCCTCATTTGTTGTGGTTCATCTTCAGGGAGGGCTCTGGATGAGGGGCTACCAGAGAGGGTGAAGGGGAGCACGGTACTGAAGGGACAGCATCATGTCCAGACACTGAGGGGCTGGTCCATTCTGTGGGGCTGGTACCACCTCTTCCCCCAGTTGCCGGCCAGTGTGGGCTTTATGAATCTCAGAGCCTCCCTAGGTCCCTTAGAAAAATGCTCCATTGTTGTATTGTTTCTGAAGAAAGATGATCAAAGATAGCTTGCTGGGTTCCAGGGTAATTTAACTTTGATCACAGGGGCGAAGTTTTGGAATCATCCAGCAAAGTAGAGAGAAGCAATGAAGTCAGGTCAGGAAAGGGTTGGGTGTCCTCTCAGAATCACTAGGGGAGTTTTACCCAAAGCTCTAAGCCAGGTCCCGGGAGCCTGAGCATCTCAGCTGGGTTCTACTTAAAGGACAGCCTCAGTTATCCCAAAGATCTTCAGAAATGATTCAAGTCATGAAGACCAAGGAAGTGGGTCTCCAGATCAACCAGAATTATTTCACTTCCTGCAGTGAGTCCTGACCTAGAGCTCACAAGAGGACACTGGTCTTCCTGTCCACAGAGCCCAGCATCTGCATGCACTTTGTGTGTGGAAGAACCCATGAGTCGGCTGCCCCATTGTACACAAGGCACCCTGGTGCCCAGAAGGCTGCTGCGCTTGACATGCACTGCATGTCCCATTGCTGGGGAGCCTTGAGCTCAGGAGCTGCGCCTGCCACCTGGGACATCCTGAGTCAGAGGAGCTCCAGGTCAGGTGACTCTGTCATGTGCCTAGCTATGTGGAGGCTGTGTCACAGCTGTGGGGCAGAATGTGGCACTCTCTACCCTCTTGTCTTTCCACACGACTGAGGTGGATCTCTTGCTATGGTATGGGAGAAATCAATTTGTTCCTCTTGATGGAAAGCTGAGGTGTTATTTTATTTACTATGCTTTCCTAAAAACTATACAACTTGACACACTAAAATAGTTTAGAAATTACTAAAACCCTTACAATTACTTACCCTAAAGTATTTAAAAGCAATAAAAAAAAAGAGCCCCTAGAAAGCCCATAAATCCATATAGTACCTTTGTGAGGGAATTAATTCCTAATTATGAGAAATTACTATCAGTTATTAAACATCACTCCAAATCATTTGCCAACTCTTTTGTCATGAATAATTTTGGAGATTAATTGCCTGAATGGAGGGCCATTCTTTTCCCCTCTGGGTGAAGGCATATTGTTCTTGCCAAGGTGGTTGTGTGTTTGCAAGCTCCTTCTAGTGTTTTTCAAAAGCAAGGTGTGCGTGTGTGTACACTGCTTATTATTAGAGGAAGGGTGAGTGGGTGGCAGGTGGCCTTGTGTGGCAGGAGGACGTCACTCACAGGTGGGCACGTGGTGACCCCACCTGTCCAACCTCAGGAAGCTGCGAGTGTGACCTCTGGACACAGCGTCTTCACAGATGTAATTAAACTACAGATCTTGAGATGAGCTCATCCTGGATTCCATGGGTGGGCCCTAAATCCAGTAATGGTGTCCTTTGGAGAGACAGAAGAGGAAGGAGGTGGCGCAGAGCAGGAGAGGAGAAGGCATTGTGCCCCAGGAAGAGGCTAAGGGAGGAGTTCTCTCCCATAGCCCAGGAGGAGTGCTCAGAACCTTGGCCTCCACACCGTGAGTGAATAACCTGGGTTGTTTCACCACCAAGATGGAGCTTATTTGTTACAGTAGCCCAAGGGGAAAGTGGCAGTGGTCTCACCGACTCCACAGTGCCCCTATGAAAAGGGGCAGCTGTCAAGGTGGCACGATAATGGTGGGGTCCCGCCCAGTGGCCTTGGAAGAGGCTCTGAGTGAGGGTGGGGGGGACAGCTCCTGCAGATGGTTTCTTGGCCCCCTGATCCCTCTATCCGCGTACCCCCATACCAGAGCCTTCATGTCCCCAAACCAAGCCTCAAACTGGGGTTCAGGAGTCTTCCTGGAGGACTTGACTCCGGCCGTGTGGTTGCACTGTCATTGGTCCTTCTCTCTAACCCTATGCTGATGGCCTCCTCATCTGGTGTTGGTGGACCCAAACTTCACCCGATGTCCCCACGGCCCCTCCTCCTTTGAGTTCCTGCAGCACTGGGCACATAACCCGATTAGGCTCTGCGTGCAGGACACACCTTTACACACCCGGGAAACTCCTAAGTATCCTTCAAAGCCCAATCTTCTGGGCTAGCCTTCTCTGACTGCCCGTGTAGACCCCTTACAAAGTGAATGACTCTCTCCTTAGCATGACCTCCTTACTTCCACTTTGTGTATAAACGCAGTGCTACCTAATGTGTACAGCCTACCACCTTGTCCTGTCTTTATATTTGGGTTTCCCTGTTCTCACTCACGTTGGCACTCTGAGCCTGCAGCACAAGGCCTGGAAATGAATATACTAGGTGATACTGACTGATATTTCCAGGGGCAATCATGGCTATATCAGAGCTGAGCATCTAACATGGTTAAGTTGTTAATTCCTTCTCTACTTTCTCCCATTGCTGCTACCCCGGGATGGTGGCAGCCTAAAATCTGCTCTGTGACAGTCAGGACAAGGGTTCTCTCTTTGGGGTCCGCTGTCAACTCAGTTCCTGTGTCTCCCAGCTCTGGGTGCTCATTCACATGTATGGGGAGACAGTGTGCCAAGCCACAAGGACAGTGGGACAGGGCAGCACTCCATGGACGAACTGGAGGATGGTCACAGAATGCGGACACGAATGCCGAGCGAGCCCAAACACGGAATGACTCCTTATACCAGGGACAGAGAGGCCCCCTATGGCCTCTGCCTGTCACCAGGTGCTGTCTGCCCCTGGCCTCCAGCAGGAGTCCACCCCTCCCCTTCCCACGTGGCTGTGTCCACTGCCAGGCCGCTTGGCTGGCCTCAGGTCTTACTCCCAGTAGATCGCTTTCAGATGAAACCTGCCTCCATGGGAGGTAAACATTTTATTTCTATCCTGCTTCCATAGATGATGGAGAGTGGCAATTTGCCGGTTTGTGCTGAAGAAGGCCAGGTCTGCCTCTTGTCCTACAGGTAATTACCAGTACCTGATCCTCAGAGAGAGCGTCTGGTTGTGTCTCCATTTGGACGAGGCTGGCTGGATGTTGTGCTTAATGCTTTCATTACTTCTGTCAACAACAGCTGGCGATGAGGAGCCATTCATTACTACATCAGCTCTGGAAGGGGGAAAGAAAGACGAAGGTAGACGCGATCTGCTAGCATGCCAATGACAAGTCTAATAGTTTTGTTTTTGCTCTGGATTGAATGTAAACTTCAGCAGAGCAAAATTGCAGTTATTACCCGAGAAAGGAAGGAAGTCTATTTATCTTCTAGAATTGTACAAACTCTCTCCCTTAGGTATAACCAACATACATTCTTGGAGACAGGAAGGGTGATAAAACTATTTTTCTCTCCCTCCACCTTTAGTGTTTCCTCCCAGTGAAACCTGGCCGTTACTACCAGAATAATAATATTTTCCTTTTAAACGATTGATAAGAAACTCACAGGTAGCAGTTCTATTAGTGGCAAAGTATCCTATGATAGCTTGCAAACCTAATGATGAGAAAACAAAACCTCATCCCAGGACAGTGTCCTTGTAGCCTGTGGCTTCTGTATCCTGTCCTCTATTCCCATCAGTCTTGTTGACATAAGAAATCTCTACCTGTGACAGAATAATCCATGCTCTGTCTCTCTCTCTCCTACTAGACTGCAAGCAGGGGCATCTCCCTCCGTCATTCCTACATTCCCCAGTGGTCTAGCATAGCAGGTGCTCAATAAATAAGTGTTTGTTGAATGTGACTTTGAAATTGATCCTGAGGGAGCCTGGAGTGGATGAAGGATCTGGTTGGCTTTGTACCCCAGGGCGGATCACAACTCTGGGTATAAACCATCCATCCACCTGACTCCGGAACACCAGGCATTAGAGGATTCACTTGAATACAGAGGCTTGAAATCTATGCTAGTAGGTTTCTAAGAAACTAGGCTACAATTATATCTTTAAAAGCAGTGCAAGAGCCAGGCTGCCTTCTGTCAGATGCAGGCACACGTATGTGGGTCACATCCCAAGTTCCTTTTGTTTGTTCTGACAGCAGATTCTCCCGGTTAGAATGATAAGTGGATTTGTGATGCCAAGTTCCAGAGCTTCAAAGAGTTCAAATCAAGCATCTCTGTCCTTTGCATTTATCTTGCAACAGCCCAGATAAGAAAGATGAAATCCTGTTAGTGAGGTCTAAACCCAATGCTCTATTTTGGTTTTTTTCAGGTAGATAAGAAATTAATTAGGTAGGGGTATGCCCTGTGTTTCATGACTCTCCCATCTCTATTCCAGAAATATTCTCCACTTCTCTGCTGATATCACTTGTTTTGGATCCAAATATACTCCATATGACTGTACGGAGAAACAAAAGGGTTTTGAGTAAGGCAGATGGACTTCTCCTGACAGAAAGAAGGCTGAAAGAAGAAGAAACAGAAAACTTGGCCCTTTGGGATTGTTACTATTTTCATGAAAGGAAGCAGAAGGGGAAGTGGAAAGTCTTCCTAAGATGAGTGACTATGGCTGCATTGCTTCACCTCCATCCCAGGAAGGAACTGTGACCTCAGGACCAAGCCTCACTGCAGTGTGTATCAGTAGGGGCATGTGATAGAAATGCTTTAATCTTGTGATGAGGATTTGAATTTCTAACACGCTGGTTGGTGCTTACATTTGTAACCAGTGACGGGTGCTGGTGCCGCATGTCTTCAGGTAGATTCAGCCTGGGCAGATGGGATGGCCCAGACTCACTCTGGAAATAGCTGCAAGGCTGGGCTTTCTGGAAGCTTGTGGAGGGGCTCGGGCAGAAGCCTCTGGACATGGGTTCCAGAGTTCTCTCAGACACAGGTAGTAGAAGTAGGAAAAGGAATGAGATAAATGCTGGCATGGATAGGAGTTGAATTTTACCTTGGTCTCTACTTCCTAGGGTAGCCTTGGCTGAGGTCTTATACCACCAGCTATGATCTTACCGGACTTAACTTCGGCTCTGTTGCTGTTTGGCTGGAGGCCTTGGGAAAGTTACCTTGGTTTTCTGGCCTTGGCTTTCTTATTTGGAAGGTTTCCATATTCCCAGGGATCATTTCTGCTTACAGGATTTACATGCTCTGTGTTGCACAAAGAAAGCTGGACTACAGAGGTGAGATTCTCCTCTTTGGTGACTGCCCCAGATTCAGTACTCTTCTTGCATCTCTTAAATGATTCTTGAGGTGTGTTAAGTGTCATTGCCTCCCAAGTCCTGAACTTTACCCTCAGGAACACTGATGTCACAAATACATCCTTGGTGTCTGTGAAAATCATGAGCAGAGTGTCTTGACCATCTCAGATGCTAGGCTAGATAGACCCTGACATTCAGTAGTTCTAATTCTCCCCAGAAGCCATTACTTATTATTCTCATTGGAATAATAAGCCACTCAGCATGACTCAGATCTGCCTTAGCATTATTCAGCACTTGCTTTAGCATGACCCAGCACCTGCTGACTGGCTTCTCTTGCACTCCTCCGTAGGTGATGAGATGTCCATCACATGGAAACTGAGGCTGAAAGGGTGAAATTGCTTGCCTGAGGTGCCAACTAAGAAGCTCAGGAGCTGAAACCAGGACTGCCTGGCACCCAAGACTGGCCTCACTTCTCAGGGTCAATAAGATTGCACCCTGGAAATTGAGGGCTAGAGCTTGAGAGGCAGTGTCTTCTTTCTTCAAGAAACAGCATCTTTCCACGGTAGACCAGAGAGGAACTGAGGGTTGTATGGCCTTCTTCATTTCTGCCATTTTTGCATTTTAGCCACAAGATCAGCTTCATTCATAGGTCTGAGCAGGTAAGATGCCATTAAAGACCTAGAAGTGATGATGTCCAGGACACAGGGGCTAACTTCTCAAGTCAGTCCTGCAGGGCCAGGAACACACTTGACAGGTCTCATATGGACAAGAGACCTAAAAAATTATAGGAGGGCAAATGACAAAACGTCCTTTGAGTAATATGAGCCTCTCATTTCCAGCATGATCAAAGAAGACATTTAGGGTTAGGGTTGGCACCTGTCTTTACTACTCCTGAACTTGGGCTTGGGAGACAGAAGGTCAGAGGTATGGGACACTCATTGTTGATGGGGAATAGGGATTTGGAGGCATGGTGTGGCCACAGCCAGTGGCAAGCCTGGGTCTGCCAGCTTGCAAAGTATTTGGATGCTCCCTTGCATCAATCTGTCCCCCAGCCAGGGACTGTCCAGAAGGCTTCCAGTGTAGCAGTGTCGCGTTACAAAAGATGCACATCTAATGATCAGCGTTAGCAAGTTGACTCCCCATGTGTTTAAGAGGGCTCAGCAAAAATTTTGAGTACTTTATTTTCGTTTTAACCTCCCGGACCAGCCATTTACCACAGAGAAACTGGGTGAAAGTTCTGACTTCCTGCAGGGCCTCCACTGCTTAGCAAAAGTGCAAGTTCTAAGCAAGTTCATTGGTGGCCCAAGCTTTACCAAGTGGGTGGGATCTTTTCCAGAAAATAACTCCTACCCATCGGTGTTTTCCATCTCAGCAACTTCTAGACCTTGGACTATTTCATATGATCTTTCATGGACAGCTCCCTCAGAAAGTGATTAGGGAAATGCAAAACCAAAGTGAAACAAACAGATCTATTTACTAAGTAAGAAGGGCATCATCCAGCAAAGAGGAGAAGCAGATTAATAGCTGCCTTACAGCAAAAACAAATGAACACAAAATCTAATTTACAAACCTATTAGATTTGCTATGTAAGCTGTTCACAGCTGATCTGATTGTACCTCTGCCTCCAGAATTCCTGCAAGACAAAGGACATGCATTATTTATAAAGCCAGCTCTTCTCTGAAAAGCTATCTTCAATCACCAAGAGACCCCACAGCTCACCTGGAGGACTACAGAGGGAGCAGGAGCTCAGTCTGGACTCTCCAGAATGAGCAATGCTTTGGTCCCAGCCATAGCCCAAGCACTTTACAGGGAAGTGGGCCTCTAGGATTCTCCCCTGCCTCCCGCTTGAGCACTTTCAATTAGCACCAAGGGTCCCAGTTGTCACTCCCATTTGGGTCTGGAGATAAATCCCTCTGTGATTAATCTCTCCTGGTTAATACCGCATGATAGAATTACTCAGCATGGTGCAGCGGCTGCCCTAGCGTGACTCAGCATTTTCTCTAGTATGACTTAGTGACTATTCTAGAGCCACGCAGCATGACTCAGATCTGCCTTAGCATTATTCAGCACTTGCTTTAGCATGACTCAGCCCCTGCTGACTGGCTTCTCTTGCACTCCTCCGTAGGTGGTGAGATGTCCATCACATTATCTCCATCTTTGAGATACCAGAAGTTCAACAGAGGTAGCAAGGCTAACTCAACCATATCTCTAAGCAAATGTGATAACCATTTGCTTTTTAGTGTCAGGATAAATAATCTTACTGTTGTCATTTTGTAGGGGCCAGGGCAGAAGGCAGGTGGATAATAGGGTCCTATATTCCTTTCCCTGGAGCACATGCTTTTGGAGGAAAAGTGTTCTAAGGTCCTTTCCAAGCCCATCTTCTATTCAGTTCTGCCAGACTCCATTGTCTGGCCACAAAGTCCCATCGCGTTTTGTTATCACATCGGCTGGGGGATGAATGAAAATTTGCGGCTCTGGTACCCCACTTTGTGACCTGCATGTGTTTTAGAAAAGCTAGAAATGAGAGAATTATTTTCATTAATTAAAAAATTCTTGCCCACTGACTTATACAGTGTGTGGTGTGGGGAAGTACTCCGTACTTTATTCATTTTAAAAAATTTTATTTAGTCTTTCAGTCAAGGTGTTGGTGCACTCCAAAGAAACGAATAAAATCACCGGAGAAGCTACGCATCTGAAGGAACCCCCTCATTAAATGAGAATTCCTCGGGGAAAGGCTTATGTACACAGTAGTTTTAAGTATGGATTTTTAATCTGCTCTCCTCAGTATCAGTGTTCTTACATATGTAACTGTGGCTAGGCGTGTTTATATATACATGTCTAGTCCTGATGTACTGAAATGTTTTCTCAACATTTTGTCAATAGACAGTTTTCTCCCACGTCATGGGCAGATGACTGGACCATAGGTAAGACGTCAGGACTAACCCAGTATCTCACCTCAGGTGTCCCTTTAAGTCTCAAACGTTATCTGTGCAAGTCTAGTTCTTTGTGACAGAGTATCAGAGTTCTCATTTTAACTTAATGCCTATACTTATTTATTTATTTTGTTTTCATCATTTCCCTTAGGAGGCAGAGATCTTGCTCCGCCCACTTGGAATCTGAGTCCATTCCACCAGCTTCAGTCCTGTAAGTAACTATTGCCCCCTGCACCCCAAGGGATTAACTAGCAGGGTGCGCTGCTCCCCACATGTCACTGTCCTTTCACACCCCTACCCTGACCCAGCCCTTAAAATCAGCCTCCCTGTGGGAAGGGAAGGCCTGTGGGGCCAGATATTAAGTCAAGCATAGTAATTAAAAGTGCAGTAATAACTCAAGACTGATGAAAGAGGAACGAGACAAAAAGACTTTCTGGAGACCCTGCATGTAAGAACTGATGCACGATTTAAAAAAATCACTATCAAAGAGAAATATCATAAATGAATTGGAGTGGCTGGTTAACAATCTCGTGGTGTGATGGGAGGAATCAGTTGAATATCCTACCCTAGATAGCAAAGTAAATTTCAAATGGATTCAGCCAGGGTCTCCCAGACTTTAGTTACACTCAAATCCCTATCACTAGTTTCCCACATCTATCACCCAAAACCATTTAAATTTTAAAATGGACTCACATTTAAACATTTGTCCTTATTCTAAACAATACTACCTGGAAAATACAGTTTTGATGTTATAGTTACACAGATATTTAAAAACTCATCAAACCACTAATACAACAATGTTTATCAGTGAAATTCCTAAAAATGTCTTACATTATCATTACACCACCCTCTGGGAGAGACTGGATTAAACAGGTAAACCTTTAATGGCTGCAAACCATGAGAAACTGGTTTTAAAAAAGGAAGAGAATGTTTATCAAACCTTTGATAAGGACTACAGAGCATATTTGGGGGCTTTTTCTAAATTCAGAAGGATAAGAAGAAGAAATTATAGAGAACATAGACAGCTTCAACTTCATAAAGATCGAAAACTCTGCTTATTCAAAAAGCTAACCTTAAAAAATCATGTCAGTGCATTTCATCAAATCCATGAGGGCTCCAGGTGAGGATAGCACATCGTCTGATTTAATTTTAAAAAATCATTCATTCAACAAAAATTTATTGCTAATATATTTGGGGGCTCTGTCAAAGCTGACATATGTGATTCCTGCCCCAGTGGAGTACAGTTTAACAGATAATACAGAGATTCATTCCTTTTCTTTTTGAGTCTTTTCATCTCCTACCCACTTCATTAAGGTATAATTGTCAGGTAGAAATTATTATTATTATTATTTTTGGTTTTCTGAGACAGGGTCTCACTATGTAGTTGAGACTGCCCTGGAATTGATTATGTAGCCCAGGCTGGTCTTGAACTCATAGCGCTCCTCCTGCCTCAGCCTCCCTAGTGCTGGGACTACAGGCGTGCACCACCATGCCTGGCTTTTTTTTTTTTTTTTTTTTTTGGTAGAAATT